GATGTTGGGCAAGAGATACTTAGTAATACGCTTTTCTGGTATCGCCCAGTATCGACACCAGTTATCCAGTGATATATATGTCGTTTACGCTCTATGGAAACTGATTTTTTTCTGGCATTTGGAATTAGAACATTATCACTTTGGTCTGAAGTACAGATCAAAGGGTGATCTGTTTGATTGGCATTTTAGTAGTTGGTGAGTAATAAGAAAGCAAGATTTTTTTTATGGATAACAATTTCTTTATTATATATGATGAGGCATTTCGGTATGGATTCTTATACCGTTGTCAAGCAAAAGCAAGAGAGTGCTCTTGCTTGACGACGGTATAAGAATCCATACCGAAATCTCGCATCATAAGTCATGTCAAGGTTCAAGAACGACAACTTCTGGGTTGTTCAAAAGGTAATCAGTCCTGAATGCCAATTCGGAAAGAATATTCTTATCATTAAAACCATAAAGAATCGTACTTTCTGATTCAAAGATATCAACTGCCAATTGGGTGAGTGAGTTAGTTTAGTTTAACACCGCTTTAGGCAATATTCCAGAAACAACACGGCGGGGGACACCAGAAATTGGCTTTGTACCCGTGTGGGGAATCGAACCCGGGTCTTTGGCGTGACGAGCGAACATTTTAACCACTAGGCTACCCCACCGCCACGCTGCCAGTTCAAAGAAAACTGGAAAATGTACACAACTTTAGAAATCTGTATTTTATTACAGTCGTTTATGTCATTGTACTTGGCATGAGTTGAAGCTAGCTAATACAACCGGGATCATAACGGTCATATCAATAAAAATACAACAAACCCACACACAAAAAATTAAAAAAAAAAAAAAAAACGCCAATGGTAAAAAGGTTTATGAACTCCGTTTATGACGTCAATATCTTGCGGTTACTGCTGTATTCCGCAATTCTAATTACACCGAAATGCCAACACAGTGCAGAAATGTACTTATCTTGCAGAAAAGCACTTTTTGTGCTGAACTCGGGCAAAAGTTTGTATTTTTCTACACTGAATTATTTAAATAAACTTAATATTGCATATGTTGGAACGTACAGCCATCATTTGAACTGAGCACAAGTTTGGATTAAATATTTCGAAATATCTAATAGAAGTGTTATGTTAGAGAAAAGTTAATTACTAATTATCTTGTAAACGTTTAGAAAAATTAAAAGAAGTTAACATTTTGATTTCGTTTTGAGGTGAAGTTGACTTCTGTTTTATTGCTTACCAAAGTACATGTCTACATGGTTTCACAAGTGATCGCTAGATTGACTTCAATCAGCTGTTTCAGCTTTTAATCAGAAAAATGCCAGCTCCAAGTGAAACAGGTGTTCAATTATCAACCACAGCCGAATTATGATTTTTTTCCCCGAGGAATACAGTGGTGACTGACTTTGTGTGACCTCAAACATCAAGACAAGCCTGGGTCTGGCGCCAAGTCCGAGACGTATGCCTCTAGTGGCTGCCAAACATGCATTGGCATGATATTAAGTTGTCTCGCGTGTCGGCAGAGAAAACCCCAAAGATGTCCCATCTGTCTAATTCTGGCTGAACCTGACAGTCAGGGCAACACGGGTACATCATGATGCTGGAGAGATCCTGGACTATTCGGGCAGTATGGGGTTTGATATTGTCCTGTTCAAACGATTACACTTGTGGTAGTCTCAAGGAAAGGAGCAACAACTGGCTACAGGCTGATATCCCTGTGGCGTTAAACTTCCCACGGACAATAGGGCCTGTAAGTCTCTCGAGGCGCTACTTCCGGTACTAAGCTTGTTCCCGGCTCCCTTTTGCGCGAGACCGGGCCCAGTTTACTTCCTGTACCAGATTTCCGGTTACAAGCGTATATTTAAGAACCAGTTCTGGTTCCAAATTGCGCGACCACCAAATAGGACTTTACAAGACCGGACCAAGTGTACAACCATGCTTCGCTGTGACAGCTGTTGACAGTCGTAATAGGTGGCTAGTTTGGGGATGGTTAGATCGGAAATTTGATATTCCTGCAAGGATTATCGGTTCCTTACAGTCAACTGACAACCATGAGACCATTCGAAAAGGTATGAAACGTTGTTTGTCACCGGAAGTGCTAAAGTCTTGCGAAGTGCCGTGACCTACTAATGGGCCATATTGCACCCTCGAGCAATCAAGCAATGGCTGCCTTTGCTACGCAGTACAGGACTACCGACGTCTTTGTCGTCGACGATGACAGGTCAAGGGCATTCTGTAATGCGGTTTGTGGGAGTCGTGAAGCCATATTGCTGTACACTCTTTGTGTCTGTGATGCTGCGTCCCAGACCAGACACTGCCCCAGTCCCGAAACTGTCACCGCCAAGAAGCGGATACGGATATGTAACGTACGAACATGGAAGTCTTCCTGCTGGGTGGTCACATGTGGTCAACCACTTCGTGACCTGTTCTTTGTGTGCAGGGTCTGGTGTTCGCATAGCCCCAACGGTGCTGCTCCAAAACTCCTTGTCCCCGTGAAGTTGTTTTATACCTTCTTTGTACTTTCATGTTAGGCTATCAGCAAAAGGCCATGCCTCGTGGAACCATCGTCAGATGATTTTGGGTGTGTTTGGGAAATCGTTTTCAAACTGAACTTTGATTCTTTTAGCAAAGGTATTAAAACCCAGTTACAATTTAACACTACCTGTCTTCTTAGAATTGTGAGTTTAGGTTTATTAAATATTGTTTAGGTTAGTGGTTAAAGCGTTGGCTCGTACCCGGGTTCGATTCCCCACATGGACACAATTGATATGCTGGAATATAACATAAACTCCAGATCTAACATAACCCGTACAAGATATCCTTAGAACAAACTGACACTGAAGACGGTGGACGATAGGCATTTACTATCGTTCGACTGAAACGTAAATGTTTTCTTCTTTGTCGAATCTTGTATATACTTAAAAGTTATCTAAAACAGATCACATGTTCAAAATGTATTTGTCTGATTGTTGTTTAACATCTCAATCTGCAATATTCCGGTTCCATAACGGCGGTTTGTAAATACTTGACTCAAGACATTCATGGTGTTGCACATCTGTATCTTCAAGAACTCCTCTCCCCTTACATGCCAGCAAGAACTCTAATCTGCTCCGTGTACCAAAGTGGAACCTCAAATCATTTGGTTACAAGTCTTACCAGTACATAACATCGGTCAAATGGAATTCCCTCCCTGATGAACTAAGCTGTCTCCAACCCTTGAAAACTTTAAGTGTCATCTCAAAACCTTTCTCTACAAAAGGTTCTATATCAATTGACATCATTAATACTTTATTCATTATTGGCGCTATAAGCATACCTGGTTTGGAGTTTGGCGCTATATACATGAACACATTATTATTACTGACCACTATATCCTGTGATTGATATAATGAACAACGGTCTCAGCCAGCAGGGTACCATGTCACACAAAGAACCACGTCACCGAGCCAGCGATGGCTGATATCATCCAAATGTGACTGTATTGAAATATGCTTGGTAAATGCGTGTTATGAAAATAGACAATTTAACATGTTTTTAGAAGTTTAATAAATGGCAGAGACTGTGAAGAGAGATGTATGACCCGGTTCAAGATGAATGATTATACACGTGCATCACGTGAAAACACGTGGGAAACTATTAAATCGGTAGGGAAGAGATTTATATCGATACAAACGAGATATCGAGTTATCAGAGTTCGACACAACGGTGCTCGACTGTACTTCACTATTCAGTAAAACAAATGCAGTAAATACCCCCAACCCGTTTTTTCAGGCACAACCAGATGAACAACTTGTTGGCTACTTTAACGGTGGAAATGTACATGCATGTTCAGCCAGTCAGCTTTTACCGTTATGCTGACCGCAGTGTATGACAGAAGCCGTGGAACATGGTGTTGCAGTATGACGTTCATGGTAGAACATGTGGAGAACAGTTCCAAATATGTCCGTCAGTGAAACAAATGATTGCATCCCATTCAATTCTGTATTGTGACCAGGGGCGGTGGAGTAGCCTGGGGGTTTAAGCGTTCGCATGTCACGAAGAAGACCCGGGTTCGATTCCCCACATGGGTACAATGTGTGAAGCCCATTTCTGGTGTCTCCCGCCGTGATATTGCTGGAATATTGTTAAAAGCGGCGTAAAACTAAACTCACTCAGTGTGTTTTGACTTTACCATATGATATGATTCGCGTGAACATTTGACTTGACTTTGCATGTGTTTCCAACGAATGCCTCTGATGGGCAGGATATGCTCACAGTCACGGACATACCTGGCACATCACTGTTTGACATAAAAAAGGCTTTTGATACACGCTGTTGTGATCTATCCATCAATGGTAGCATAAGGTTTAAAAACATTCTTATTTAAGCAATTCCACACACTAAAAATAACCATTACTGACAGAAGGCTTCAAACACGTTTAACTATAAAACTGATGCTATACAATCCATAGAATACATTGTTGGTAAGTCGAATAAAATAAAATTGGAGCAAACGCTGTATTTATTTACCCTTAAAAGGAATGACTGCACTAGTAGTAACTCTAAACCATGCATTAATGGCAACATTTCATTTAACATGAACGGTTAAACGTGTATGCCTATTTTGTATAGATGTATCTTCCAATGGTATACTAAATTCTGGTAGACTGTCATGCATTAAAGCAGTGTTAAGCCATGTGTGCTTACATTGTGAAAGTGTATTTACTAGAAGAGACCCGTGAAGATCCGGGTTAGAACTGGTCTTCAGTAACCCATGCTTGTCGTAAGAGGTGACTAATGAGATCGGGTGGTCAGGCTCGCTGACTTGGTTGACACATGTCATCGAATCCCAGTTGCGTAGATTGATGCTCATGGTATTGATCACTGGATTGTCTGGTCCTGATGATTTACAGACCGCTGCCATATAGCCGGAATATTGCTGAGTGCGGCGTAAAACTAAACACATCAGTAGAAGAATATATTGTATTTTCACAACTGTCATCAACCATGTGTTCCCATTCTGTGCAGGTGCCTTTCTTATTCCGTACATCGTGATGCTGATATTTGGCGGTCTACCTCTGTTCTACATGGAGCTGGCGTTGGGACAGTTCCAGAGGTGTGGCTGTCTCACTGTCTGGAAGAGGATATGCCCTTGTTTCAAAGGTAGGTCTTGTATCTGATACAATGGTGACCGCTTAGAATTGGTCTTCAGCAACGCATGCTTGTCGTAAGAGGCGACTAACGGGATCAGGTCCACAGACTTGGTTGACACATGTCATCGTATCTCAAATGCGTGGATCGATGGTCATGCTGTTGATCACTGGATTGTCTGATTGACTCATTTGCCACACAGCAAGAATACTGCTGAGTGCGGCGTAAAACAACACATACAAAGCGTACAGTGGCATATTCCGATTGAAGGTTTGGAGGAGCAAACGTGAAGAGTGGGATATTCGGCTTCCTTTAGTACTTTATATCTTTCTTACCTGTAAGTATCTTTAAGTATGAGTGGTTGTCTCAACATTACAGCTACGGGCACTAGAAGGGGACAAATGGAATTTTAAAGGACATGGAATGAACGCTAATGCCCAGCTGGTAATGTGTCTAGAATGATTGCCCCTATTCAGTCGACGCCAGTGACATGAGAATGGTTTTACAGGACATAACATGAACGCTTATTTCCTTCTTTTAAAGTGATCAGAATGATCGCCACTTCCCATTTCTCCCAACGTCAAATGACGTTCTATCCAAATATATTCCCAGATATTGAAACACTTACTTCTTATGCTAGTGAGTGACGCATGCTAACGGTAGAATTACACAATCGAGATTAATCATTCTCGGGCGTTCACGGTTAATATGTTGAATGCATTGAAATGAATCAGATTGTTTGGGTTGTTTGGGTTTTCTTTGAACTATATGGAGTTGATTTAGGATGTTTTAAATTATTTTTCTGTTGATCTGGTATGGTTTGGATGATATTGGATTCTTTTGGGTTGTTTTTGATAGTCTTGGATTAGGTCTGGTTGTTGTGAGCGTTGGTATAAATGGTACTGCCAGTAGTATAGAGCTACTTTTAATGGCGTTATTGTTTGAAAATAACAGAATTCCGTCTTTAAGTTGGACCATTTTTGCATGAAACTTTATTATCCGTTGGGAACATGTGTTCTGATTTCTAGATAAAACGATGGTTCTAAATTTACTGAACATTATATTAGAGCAATATATGTCTTGGAGTCAGTATTAGTCGTGAATTTGTGAAGATTTTTACCATTGGGACCAAGTTCACAAAATGAAGTGTTCACAACCACCTTCACTCATAATTCACTTCTAAAGTCAAATCTCAAAGGTTGTTGGTAAACGCGATCACAGATTTTCCTACCTGAAAGACACAGATCTTGGGATTGTTGGTACTATTACGCTATTACCCTCAGTGCCATGACGTTAAGATTGGTACTTAGAAACGTGTACACGTACAAGTGTGGATAAGGCTCTTCTGACAATGGGATGTGCAGCTTTTTAAAAATGGACTTAGAATGGAATAAATGCGGGAAGAATGCATGTAAAACATTCGAGAAACAAAAGCTAAAAGTAAAAGAGTTGTTGGTGCTGTTGAGCATTACATGTCAACGTTAAAGACGTGTGTTGGCAAGGAGACGTCTTTAACAGTGGGTGTCAGTTTAGCGTCCATGTCGAATACGTTGAGTTACTGACCAATTTCCGGCACAATCACTCGGATTGACCGACATACATAGCAGCCACGAATACTGGACTTGCTCTTACCACGTGGGGAGTAACTTGAATAAATTACACTTGTCCATAGGTTCACAGGAATTCCCCAAGTACTTAAGTTATCTGAAAACATCAAATGTAACAACCACTTATGTGGGATCTAAGACTTAAGCTTTCAGTGTATTTTCAAGCGTCAGCCTACTATATTCTATGATCACTACATTCCTCTCTGTTCTTTTAGTTCCTGTAGTTAAAACCTTTACTGCATACTCATGCCATTCCCAAATTAAACTCTTTGGGATAGAATTTGACTGATAAATAAGTTTTGTTACCTGAATTCATAAGACCCAAATTGAAATTTCAATTATTGAATTAATGTATGCATTGTACTTGACTTTATACAGCATAATGATTACATCCTAGGGCTGTTTTCTGAACATACACTCAGGCAACAAACCAACCGAAAATATTACTAGTTACATTTCAGCCGGAGACAAGCGTCTCCCAAACAAAGATTCGACATAATTTTACCCTTTCATTTGCCATTTCTGAACTGTAAACGGATCACATGAAACAGGGACGGAATTAATTTCTAATAAAACTTGGGCATTATAATGGTCTTTTCTATATTAACCGTATTTAATAAGTTATTGCCTCATTTATGATTGATCAATAGTATTGTATTGGATTGTACAATGTATGTTTGACACTTGTCAGATTATTCTACTCGGTCATCCCAGTGACGTTTCTTGCCTCCGAAATGTCCTTCATCAATTGTCAAGGACGTCGACTTTACGGACCTAAAGATGTCCGAATTGGACACAAGTTGCTTGATTATACAGAAACAGGCTTATCGTTTCTCAGATATGTCTAATATCTGTAACATAATCCGTGCAATCAAAACACGTTTATGAATTTTCATTGTTTCTCGATGAAATATCCATTGACCCAACAACCCATATCAAAAGTTCAGCCCGTTGATGTTACACTGGAACCTTCCCTCTTGATGGGTCTCGTTCGGTTGCCCCGCCAGCACCATGTAAACCATACCGCAATCCTAAAATCCGGACAGGAACACGTCGTATGACTTTAGTCTAATTTCCGAACACAACCAATTGGAGATCGCTGGTTCTTGCATCAACGTTTGGATAAGATTCCGTTGCCTTGTCATTATCATTGTAATGCAGAGATGTTGCAGTTCAATAGACATTATCATAACCGAGATTGCCTTATCGGCGGCTGCTATTTGCCCGGTAAAGGCCGCGTCTTAATCCAGGTCCGTCGTTTGGACTCGTAGCGTAATTACCCGGATCGCGGTCGAAGAGAGGAGCTTTCATGTGAAATAAAGGCTAATACCGGAGTCATAGCCGGGATTCGGCAGGCTCATTTTAACTGTGCTTGCAAACCCGTCTTCTGTGTGTTCGATTATTGACCCATATGTTTAAATTTGTCCACTCTCGTTAAACACTGACAAGTTTAAGTAATGAGCATTACATATCAGAGGTTGAACAGAATGCTTTGGACGCGCCATTGGGGGTTAGTTGGATAGATGCATGCTATATTACCGTTAAGTGCTGAAAGTATCACATCTTTTTTAGCTGACATTTTAGACGTCAAGTAACCATGTTTTTGTCTATGGAAAAGCATGGTTAGTCTCTATGGGTTTACTTTTCTTCTATTTACTCGTAATTGTTTGGTTGGTACGATTTACAAAATCATTAGCCCCGAGACAATGACTTGTACATATTTACAAGTTTGGTTTCAGCGCAACAGTACCATTATATCATGCAATGTTATGTTGTTTTCATGCTGTGAGTGAAATTTAGTGTATGTACTATAATTTTTGTCATTAAGAGACAGTTCTCACATAATGTCTTTTGTGACCTAGATTTCCGACTACCTTAAAGTAGTAAAACAGAGAACAAAATCAAATCTGAAAATCACAATTTGTTATATTCCTACGACAGCTGACAATAAAAGTGTATATTTATTATTAACAGTTGTGCAAATGGCGCAACGCGCCCTTATTTCCACGCTGATATTCCAAAAGAGCTGAAGCTAATCCACAAAACGTTCGTAACGCTACGACATTCGTAAGCCTATGATAAACTGTAGAGTTACGACAGGTCGTAAAGTTACGAATGTTTTGTGACTCGGTACCCTGGACCTTAAAGATTATATTACCTTATATCAATATGTATATTTTCTGAAATCTAGCCATAAATTACAAATAATGTAAGAATGAGAAGAGGATGACCTAACACTTACATTGATTGCGGTGAATATAACAAATGCCTTTCAGCGATGTAATTGTTTCTTGAGCCTTGACGGTAACAGACCAATCTGATATGACTGATTACCTACAGTGCCGGAAGTCTGCATATTCTAGACTGTAATCTGCAGTCTTCAGTCGGTAATCTGTAGTATGCATACTGTCTGAATAAATCACCATATGTCAGTCAATAACCAAACCAGTGGTGTTGTTCAGGCTTCGTCCATAACTGGATTATTTACAGGATATGTGAATCTACTTACTCGCAGTGAAGACTTCCCGTCCAAATTATGATAAATAACTAAGAGCGGAAGGAAGTGAGCGTTTCTCTGATAGTTCGAGTTAGGGTTTCTGTTTTAAGAGATTCGACTGTACGAGGGTTTTTTAAAAGTCAGGCCACAATTTGTTATATTATCCGTATTAAGAAGTTGGACTCGGCAGTATCACTGAAGACACACTTACTTATTATCCATGTAGCCTTATTTCGCTGTTCATTTTGCGTTGGTACAGCTACTTTCCACCACTTTCGACACACTGGGAATCTCGAAGTCTTCATTATCGGTTGCTGACATCGAAAAGGCTCTCTTTACGATCTGATTTTGATACCTTCGTGTTCATGTAATAATTATTTGACTATTAGTGATTCCGTTTCATGATTCAGAGAGTACCAAGATCCGGGTTAGAATTGGTTTTCAGCAACCTATGCTTGTCGTAAGAGGCGATAAACGGGTGGTCAGGATTGCTTGCTGACTTGGTTGACACATGTTGTTGTATGACTGTTGCGTAGATCGATGCTCATGCTGTTGATCACTTGATTGTCTGGTCCAGAATCGATTATTTAAAATTGCCGCCACGAAGCTGGAATATTGCTGAGGTCGGCAAACAAACAAACATAGAGGACCATAGGCCACCGGCATTATATAGAACACATTTTGATTTCAGATTAGTAAACCTTACCGCTAATTCACAACAATGTTGCATTAACCACTCCAATATACTCCAAACATCAATGTATGTATTACATCGGCATACATTATAATAAAGAATAGAATATGAGTGCCCATATCATACTGTACGACATGAGTGCCTACATGTTGGTATTTCCCGAGCGAGTGTCGTAAACATAGTATGATAAACATAACACGAATATAATATTCTG